TATTGATTTTATTTTGCTAAATGATGAAAAAAGATATTGAGAATTTATAATTCTTCAAAAAATTTTTTATATAATTTTATAATTACTGATAATATCAACTCTGTGATTGTTATTCAGAATAAATTTATCAATTTTTATATTTTAAGAAGTTTAAATATATAGCAAAACTCTACTGAGATATGGTGTTTAAGATTTGATTACTTGTTGCACGAGAAAAAATTTTTCAAAAATTGATTTTTTTATTATTTGTGATTAAATTTACTAATTAAATTTTTATATTCAGAAAAAATTTTCGTCTTTGATAGTATTTTATGTGGAAAAATTTACGTATAGAAGTAATCAAAGTTTTTTTACCCTTGATCGCATGATCAACTCAAATGTTTCGATATTCGATAATTTTTTTGTTAAAATCAAGAAATTTTCTTGATTTTAAATATTGACGTCAGAGATGCATCTAATATTTCAATATAAAATACTTCTCAATATCAAATTCCAAACTAAAAATTACTGTTAAGTTACAAAAATAGTTCTTTATTCTTGACACAGAAAAACTTGCAAAATAGCTAGAGAAAATTTTAAATTTAACTTAGTTTATTAAGCTTACGGAAATTTTTATGCTTCTAATAATTTATTCAAAATTTCTTGAAAGATTTAAATGACTTCTGTAACAATCACGGACGAGTATATTTCAAGGGAGCACTGACATACGTAGTAGCTAAAATACAACTGTTAGATTTTGAAAAAAAAGTGTACTCAAATTTTATCCGCTAGTATTTTTACATTACATATTTATTAGGTGATGTAAAAACAAAAAATATGACAAAATTCATTTAAATATTGCTACATATGCTGACGGATATATCACTTTTCAAAAGCAGAAAATTCTCAATGATCTTGGAGTATATCTGATGAGCGCCAAAAATTGTCCCGTTAACTTATAATTTTTTCAGAATTTTATTTGAAATTTATGCGAGCACTAGCTTTATCCCTAGATAAACTTGGATGAACAATAAAGATAAATCAGAAAACAAATTTCGAATACATTTTATTTCACTGTCACATTGGACTGCAAAAACAATAAACTTGCAAAGCAAAATTTTGCATTTTGTTATTCAGTGCTATAATTCATTGAACGCAAAAAGTGTTTAATGTAACACAATAATGAATACATAAAGAAACGGTTTGAAATTTATTAATGAAAATAACATATTACAAAATGTTAAATTTACTTTTTGTAATTATTACATAGCAATTCCCAACATTAAATGATAATTTCAATCTTTATCAGACATAATGAATTTATTTGATTGTGCACTTTTATAGCTGCAATTCGACAAATTTATCAAACTCTTAGATATTAAACACTGATAACTGGTGATAGCAAATAAATTCATTAGTAGTGGTTGGTAATTATTTTTTAGAAATCAAAATCAGTATATAATATGTACTGAATGCAAGGAAAATTCTTCACTTTTTAAAGTGGCAAAAAAAACGATAGCAAAATATTAGATAGTGACAAATGTTTTTTACAAGTAATTCGAAAAATCTGCAATAGAACTGTTATGAATTCAATGAATTGAAACCTTATAAAAAAATAAATCAGAGAAAATTTTGATGTGTGTGAATGAATTTTATGACGCTGTTAAAAGTTAAGATTTATCAGTCTTAAACTTTAGATTAAATTAGACTTTACTTTCTGATAAATTATTTTTTTCAAGTATAGCATGTTTTCAAGTTCTTTGTTCATATTTTTTACGATAATTGAATAAGTAAAATGAAAAATTTTTGCAAGACAAAATATATCAAATTATAATTAAATTATAAATATTAAATATTTTGAGCTACTTTTCAGCACTAAATTTCAATGATTTGAAAAATATATTGCGGAAAAAATCAACATTAGCTGATGTGGTTTCTATGCAGTTCATTTATTTTCTTAAATGGAAACATTTTTTGGACAATATTGTTAAGTACTAAAAATGACTTTGTAGTCAACTCGGAAGTATCTTAATTGGAAACTAAAAACAACTGACTCAAAACATCTTTGCTTTGGTAAGTTATAAAAGTAAAGAAGCTTAAAAAACTAGCTCTATCTAAGAAAGATTTACTTGTTTTAATAAAAGTCATTACTTCACATAATTATCATTTTCTAGTTTTGAATTGACAAGAAAATTATACATTAACAATCCTATCAAAAAAACTTCAGAACGAACCAAACATAAAATTAAAATTATTATTGAAATAAAGTTTTAATTTAAATCAATTACTATTTAAGTATTAATTTATGAAAAAATGAGAAGTGAACTCGCAGCCATAAAGTCACTTCTTTATATTCTTCGCTAATTTTAAATTATTCACAATACGAAATTATAAATTTATTCTTTAATTTAATTCATATGAAAAATGATTCTATCTCTCTTAATTCTAACTTTAAAGGTTGCAACTGAATAAATGCATGTAAAATTACTTCATGCAAGTGCATAAATTAAAACTTGTTCTAATTAGGAGAGTAAAAATTTAATCTATTATGGCAAATTCAATTACCAAATTCGTTGACTGTCTCAGTTCTGTTTGATATCAAGTAATTTTGAAAACGTTACTCAGAAATTTTTTGTTTATTAAGTTAAATTTTGCTGTTATTTATTTGCATCATAACTCATTTCTTTATCAGCTTGGAAAATTATTCATTTAGCTGAATCTTTTGTAGTTATAAATATAAGTAATTGATAGATATGTTATTTTCCGCTAAATGAAACTGAATTTTGTTTCGTTAAACTTTTCGTTTCATTATTTTGATATGATTACAGTGTTGATTTTTGCTTAAACTGCTATTAACGAATAACAGATTTCACTAATTTGATTATTAGCTCAGGCATTTATCGTCAATGAAATCACTGTAAAAGTGCTTGCTAATGGTAAAAAACTATACAAGACAAACTTTTCCAGACTATTTCAAGTTTCGTTTTTCGGAAGAATTAAAATTTTAAAAGTAGAAAAAAGAGGGAACAATGCAGTAAGTAATGTCTTGAAAAATCATGAAATTATCTAACATTGTCCTGGTAAAAGGCTAAGTTATAAAAGTAAGAAAAGAAGCATAAATTCGAAAGTAAAATTTAAAAATAGCGCAATGTTAGGAAATCATAAAGGAGGAAAAATTATAGCGTAAGTTTAGCATATATTTTTATATTTGAAATGCTTGATCAATTTGAACATTATAACTGCTTAGAAAAAGCAATGAGAACATGAATTATACAGAATTTATTTCAAAACTGAACATAAATACTTAATTTATTCATTTTGTTGTTTGATCACTTCAAAGAAATTATATATATTTTTAAATATATTAGATGTAGCACAGCAAGATAATTTTATAAACTTATGAGCAGTTAATAAAAATATAGACTACCAAAAGTTCATCTTTTAATGATAATATGTGTTCAGTAATTTTAATTTAAACCAGTTCTTGATCACTTCTAAAAGTGTTTACAAAAAAGTTACAGAATACATTTACTTATCAATTATGAAAATAAAAAATAGAGTAATTATAATTCTATCAGAAAAAAATATAAATTAGCTTAAAATGAAAACAATTTTAAAAGTTGTTCTATAGTATGCAAGATTACTCGCATTATGTAGAAGTTAAAACTGATAATTAAACTCTTTCTTATCATTTCAGAGATAAAATCCATTGAGGTAAGGTTGTCAGAAGGCTCACCTCACTATTTTCGATTAATGTGAAAGCATTTGTTATTATATACTCTCTTATGCATAAATTATATCAAGTCACAATCAAAAAGCAGTAATGATGAGAATTTTCACCATTATTGAGGAAATAAAAACAGATTTGCAGGACAAAGTAAAGCCTTGAATGCAGCGATGTCAATCTCCTCAAAAAGTATGTTTCTTCTTGTTTTTTTGCTTCATGAAATTTACAATTACATAGGTAATAATGAGAGAGGAATATTCGCAAAATTGCTACTTTGATTTGCTTAAATATATGAATTCACTTTTTTTAAGATGATATTGCTGAAGAATTGAGAGCAATGGAAGTTGAAAAGGTTTTGTTTTGTTTTCAATTTTTTGTAACAGTAGAAATTAGAACTTATTATGAGCACAAAAAAATGGTCATTAATAGGAATGATCAATCATTTTATTATCATTCAACATGGATAAACCATTATATCAAAAACGTCAGCTATGGAATTATACGTCCCATTGGCATTGATTTTAGCCAGGTCAAAAAAAATTTAAAGAAAATAAGCATTCTCAAAAAGTTCTGATTGCTAATCAGTTTGAAAGTTTACTTGGTTTTTCTACCGATTCTGAGCAGCTAGGAAAAAATGATTATGTATACATAACAAAGGACAAGAAGCGATTACTACTGATTCGAGAATACGGTAAAGCAGTACAAAGCTCAGACATGGGTAAACCTATTACTGCTCCTTCTGATCCAACTGGTGAAATAGATGTTTTGAGCAGGTAGGTAGTTTGTTCTTTTTAAATGAAAATTTTTAAAGTAAATAGAGCAATGTGACACTTTAACTTTCAGCGATTCGATACTGACTGAAACTTCAATTGATTCAGTAATCACCCAACCATTGGAACCTACAGATGACTCTATAATCACTTTACCGAAGGAAACTTCTGATGATTCACTAATCACGCTACCAGTGGAATTTTCGGATGACTCCATAACCACTGTACCAAAGAAGGTTTCAGATGATCCAGTCATCGGAACAAAAGGGACTTTAGATAATTCACTAATTAATCAACCGCTAAAATCTTCGGATGAATCTATAATTATCACACCAAAGGACATTTTAGACGATTCAGTAATTATTCAACTAAAGGAGATTTCAGACGACTCACTAATGATACAACCACTGGAATCTTCAGATGATTCAATAGTCAACAAACCAAAGGAGATTCCAGATGATTCTTTAATACAATCAGCAGCATCATCTGGCAACTCAATCACTGCAGGAAGGAAAACTTCAGATTTTATATTAACCAGTACTGCAACTACGGAGTCAATAAAACCAAACGTAAGATGTAGATAACTAATAACCATGTAATCATAGAAGAAATTATATATTCTAACACTCCTTACTATATATGTATATATAAAGAACGAAACACCATGCAAAGATGTCAAATCTTACAATCCACATTTTTCAATATTATCATTTCGGTCAGTTTGAGATATTTAACTTATTGTTCCAACAGCTTGGAGATCTTGAAAATGGGTACATTGTTGACTGCAACATATGTATTCATAATCGCCAAGAAACTAATTCCTTCCACGAGATTCATATTCAAGCAGTTTGCGCCAATGAAGTTCCCAACCATTTCTACATCAATGGAGTAAAATTTTCGAAGCTAAATCCATGCGAATTGTTCTACAAACCATAACTTGTTACTAAGAGATCACATGATTCTTTCTTGAGCATTAAAGTAGCTGATATTGTCTTAAGTTTTGAGATAAATACTAAATGCGTGATTTGATTGGATGCTTCAGCTTACAATGTAAATGCAACTTCTGAAACAAAATGTAATAATTTTGCTTCACATGAAAACGGCACACAAGAGGAGAAAAATTGCACAAAACTCTGTAAGGTAACCAAACATTCAAAAATTTAAACAAACTTACAATTGTTTCTTACCGAGTAACAAAAGCTGCAAGCTCCTCATAGCACTGCTTATCTATGATTACTGTCAAGAGTGCTATCTTGAAACAATAACAGAACATACATATCACATTCACTGAATCAATTCGAAATGTTTGAGCAACACAACAACAACAACTAATGTACAACAAAGCTAACACAAAAACATCTCATAATTATCAAACTAACAAAATTTAGGAGTGAAGGAACCCGCGGGAAACTTGTAATTTCTTCTTTCAATTCCTTAAAGTGCCTTGCAAAAGCCAACGGAAATATGATGAGAGGAATGATGAGTACTTCTGAAACGTTCATAGGAAAAACATTCCTATTAAGTAATAAAATATTTCATATAAAATAACTATTAAAGATGCAATGCTCTGAATTAGTGTAATCTGATTTCTTGAAGATGGTCACAACTGAAACAAGATAAGAATACATGACGGACATTATGTTTTCGAAACTTGATAAAATAATACTAATACTACAACATTAGCTATAACGCAAGACTAGTTCAGTTCCATTCATAGACAATTTCCATATAAAAAAACATCTTAACATCAAAAAGAGGTTCGTATCACAGGCCAGATTCTGCAATGCCTTCATCATCGTCGAATGCGGGATTTTGATGAACCTCAATGCGAGGCCAAAAAACATTGGAATGATGTTGTGGTGGAACAGATCCAACAAAAGTTGTACCTCCATTACTGCCCACAATTTTGATATCATTTACAGCACTGATATCACCACTGATAATGCTATTTGGAAAGCCGATAACACCGTTATCAGCAAGGAATGATGAAGTTACACTTACTTCAGTGCCACCAACATGTGGTAAAGTATTAGATATCAAATTTAATGAAGTTACATTCTCTGTTTCCAGGACATAGAGAAGGCAATGATGAATGAATATATACTGCTGCTGAAAATTTCTTGATTCTAATGAATAAGTCAGTAAATTCAGCGTTTAAGGTATATTTCAATGTGAGGCTAAAATTCACTGCTTGAGATCACAATTACAGGACAACATTACTGATTAAACTCGTACTGGAAGTAAAAAACAAAGAAGTAGATGAATGCTTATTGATAAAATTACCTCATTCTGTACCATATGACAACGATCAAGTCTCATCTCATACACAATACCAAAAACATCCAGTGGCAAATTTTTAGCAACGCACTGCATAAGACGATCTAACGCAATGAACGTGCCACTACGACCAACTCCAGCACTGCAAATCACATCATTTGCCCATTTTTCATGTCAAATTCATCATCAGTTGTTTGGTTTGATGCTGTTACACTAAAAGTTAGTTATCATTTGCTGATTTCACTACACTGGATGCAACGGATAATAACAGCGTACTTCGGCCTAACACTTGCAAACTGACGTCGTCCGTTTAACAATTTGCATTACCAATAAAGCGTGTGTAAATTCTATGCTTGGGGTTGAGAAAACTTTGATTATTTTTGAAGCACCAGATATTAAACATTAAAGGCAACTTACCACTGATAAATACTAGGCCATAATAAAATTCCATCAATAAATGAAACCTGCAATGCACAATAGTTGGTTTATTATTTGGAGAAGGTGGTAATCGAGCCCTGAACAATCGAACGAAGTGAACTAAACCAGCGGCACATTCAGGTACACCAAAGTCAGGCCATGCCATGTAATGCATATGTCGTAGTGTCCGCGGTGATGTCGATGGTTCATTCATATTCGTCAACTTTAACTCGCGAATTGTGAACTCTTCATAAACCACTTCATTCATTAATGTTACCTGAAGAAAACATACACATAAAATGATAGGAGTCGAAGTCTAAAAGCACCAAATTTTTATCGTATTCGTATTCCTAAAAAGATGAAATGCAAAAAATGGTAAAAAAAGTTCTACATAAAATATATGTTACTGGACTACACACAGTTTATGATTCAGCAGTATTTCAAAAAAACTGCTGAGAATGTTCCAGCAACGTTAATTTATTTCTAACGTTACAACTTTCATATGACTAATATATAATATATATTAGTGTTCTTTATGCTTACAACGTGGTGAAGGTAGTATACAAGCTAGTATACCTTCACATTTTGTCAATGTTACAGATGAAATTCGATACCAAAAGAGCTTAAAACGATTAGAACCTCAATGTCAGCATAAAGAACACTTCGCTGATCATTATCAGGCCAGTACTGATGACATTTGTCGCGTCCTTTTTCGACACATTTTGTTAAAGCAACTATTGCCGGACACTGCTGTTCCCATACAACACGCCAAAAATGATCACGCGTGGATGGAAGCGGTCCTTGAGCTGCGATAAATTCTCGACGTGAATTAAATCCCTGCAAATGAGAAAAAGTTGTGATCAAAAATATACATATAAAGCACTGACTTGACTTAAATGCACTAGCGTTTATTACTTATTCAATGCATTCTTTTGGTTTAAAATCAAAACTTGGAAGAAACTTCGAATTCATCACTTAGTTAATGAATTTTAGTTTTCTTCTACACGATTAACTTTTCTAACAAAAGATACAAATCTCCATTATTCTTTATTTTCCTGATTGAAAGCTTAATCAAAAATTGACCTCTGCGAAGCTTTGCATATATTAAATCAACTTCAAAAAACTAACTTACAGATATGTAAGATGCATTTACATAATCTGACCCATCATCATCATCCATAGGAATCAGCTTCACTCGAGAATGGTCATAGGGTAATATATTAGTGAAACGGTTTTTTGCTCGATTCACTGTCAAATCCGCTGCTATGCATGTTTGTCCATGTCCAACCAACTTTAGGTCCTAAAAATATTATCTGATTACAAATTTATCAAGGTAGGCGCCAGTAGATCATCATAACTTGAAACAAATGTTAACAACAACCGACTTTTCATGATGACAAACTCAAGAAATGTGCTAAAACTACTTATTTTCAAGTACTGTAGAACTAACATGAAGGTGAAAATAGTAGCAACCTACTTCATACTCTTCCGAAAAACGGAAATCTGAATCAGCTGACATCAACTGCACGTGCTCAGCAAAATTACGAACAAGTACTGGTCTACTGAAATGATTTTACAACCAAAAGATTAATAATTTCGTGCCTGATTTAAAATTCTCCCTCTAAACACTTTAAAATCGAAGTCGAAAATTTTATGGTTTGAAAATATTCAGAAAAATAATTGCATACCCAGAGAAAGAGAAAATAACACATATTAAACTAGATTAGCTGTAGCACTACGAGGACAAGCAATAATTAGCCAGTCAGATCTTAAGATTTTATTGAATTTAACGCCTAACGCTTCCATCTCGATTTTCTTTCTCACACATTTTCAAATAAGGTATATAATGTAATTGAGGAACCAAAAAAAATCACAATTTCGGTTTCAATTTTTGACTCAGCCACTTCAAACTTACTGTTATTCTTTTTTCCACAACAACAAAATTCTATAGAAATCTGGAATAGAAAAAAATTGGCCACTGACTTTGTACAATCACTGATTACGAATTATCGTTTAATTCAAACTCATTTAAACTATCACACTTTTAATAATGGCATATTTTCAAATATAGTAGTAGTAAAAAGCAGTTGCTAGTTAACAATCAATTCTAACTTTATATGGTAGAATATTTTTTCAAACTTCAAATTTTTATTGAATATTTGAAACAAACCATTTTTCAATATTACTCCCTGCAATAACTGTGTGTGGTGCAAATTTTTGTACCATTACTGGTCCACTAGGTAATCGTTCCAAGCGCTGATCAACACCAGTGCGTTCACGTAAGCTACGAGTCCTGAGTATTTATGACTATGATTTATCTGTTACTTCCTTTTATAGATGTAAAGTGTTTATGAAAAGTGAACTTGCTTTAGTTTTTTTTTGCTCAGCTTTCAACTACTTCAAAAATTACCATAACTATACCCGAAAAACCGTGATAGAAAATACTTATATGTACCAAAATGTCTAGTGCTAATTCAGTGAAGATTAGCAAAATCTTTCCTCTCACAGAATAAAAACCCTCATAGAATAGATGAAAAAATTGAGTCTTTTGATAGGAAAAGCTCTTAAAGAGCTTATAATTCTACAATAACTATAACAAAAAAGTAATGATAAAAGTAAACAATCTGACCAAAGTTGAAAGAATCAAAAGGTATACAGACCTTCGATGATGTCCAAATGCAGTTACTATTCCATTTGATGTGGTAGAAATTGTGGTGATGGAGTCCATAATAGAAGTAGGATTCTGAGGTTGTTGACTAGTTTCTGGATTTTGGATGCTGGGAGTACTGATAGTAGCGGTAGTAATGCTAGTATTGGTATTCGTGGTAGTAATGGTGTTACTAGCAGCAGAAGCAGTTTCCAGGCCAAGTTTAGCCAAACACTGGGCTGCCCTCTCGGCCATGATCATCTTCAGAGTAGTCCAATGCGAAGGAACTTTACCGTTGCAAAGACTATTCTGTCCTTGCTTGATCTGATTTATTCCAGATGCTGTAAGAGTTTCATAATCATCTGTTTTATTGCTTCTTGCATAGATATGACAATTTTCTTTTAGCTTTTTCTCTGAATACAAAAACATTTTTGTAGGCACCATACATACCTTATAACTTAATACGTAAATGTAAGCAATGAAGAAATCCTTTTTAAAATATTTCATCTCAGAGTGATGAACTGGATATTACGCGCAGTAAGAATTGAAAATCAATAATAATACGTTATGTAACATGTTAAATTCAGACAAAAAAAATGAAAACACTACAAAGTTATTTAAAAAATAAAGACAGTAATGTAAAGTTCGATAGCAGGATATAGATTCTATTTTAAAATGGAGTATTCTAAAATCAACTACAGCAATATATGACATATAATAACTGTAAATTGAAGTCAAATTAAAAATTAGCACCTAATACGGTGTAGGCAATGTAAACTCCTATAGCATTATGATTAAGCATGGAGTGAAAAACATGAATACCTGAGTACGGAAAATTAGACTGCAAAATATCGATCGAAAATCCGTGTGCAGCACCGTTTTCATCGGCAACAAACTGTTGCTGAGGATAGCTGCTGTAGTGATGACAATGATGCTGGTTACTGTATACACTGGAACTAAAAATAAGAAGGATTTCGAACCGAAAAAGTGTATTTGGTCCAATTTGAAAAACGCTTTTTTTTAGATAAAAAAAGAAAATTTTGCAAAGAAGACAAGTTTCATCAAGTTTAACACAATTAGATAGAACAGATTCAAAATGGTCTGTTCCAAAAAAGCTCGGAATTTAGAAATAATAACAGATGGCCAAGATTACAACAGTTCCAGACATTCTGCTAGAGAAAGAAAACGAAATGTTTCTTTTAAAAAATGTGCTCAGTTGTTTAAGGACCAGTTCAACTTCCTATTTTCATAAAATCCCCTTTCTATTTTTCAATGCTTTTTCTGCAGAACATTCGAGCCAACAATTTTTCACAAAACAGAGAGAACCTAAACTTTCCTCCAACCCCTTCCTTTACATTTTGAGGCAGCAAATTTATTACAAATGAAATTTGTAAGCTACTTTCATCCAAAATTTGACACAACATTCTTTAGGATGTTAATCAGTCAATCGGGACTTGCTTCAATCTTAAACATATGATGATAATAATCACGATATCATCATTAATAACGAAAGTAATAATAATAATAATAATAATAATGACACGCCATTAATTTGTTTGCAAAAAATTTCTCACTTTTATTTAAACACTTTTTTAACTATAACATTAGGTCAAAGCATGTTGAAAATCCCAGTGCTAATCAAAGCAACATGTTAAAAGATTTTAACCTTAATTAATTATTTAGCTCACAATCATAAACAACTATTACAATTATAATTTTTCACAGCAGCATTGACGTCTAGTACCGTGAAATAAGATTTCTTCATTAGCACCTAATTAAAGCAGAAAAGAACGGAAATATTCAGTTATAATACAACCCTATTTCCTCCTTCTAACCATGACACTAAATCAAAACCTTTGAGAAAAGTAGGAAATATTTTGAAACAATGAAGAAAGCGATGTAAAACATCTGTCAATTGTGTTTTTTGATATTTTTCACACAAACCTCATATTTTTTTCACTTTTCGAAAATGAAATAAATATTCTTAATTTAAAATGCTATTTCACACTTCTCCCAAATCCACTCAACTCTGTTCTAATAGAGTAAATAATCAGAATATGAGTACAATTGATAAAATCAAGCACACAGCATGAAAATTTTTCGCTCATCAATCTTCTTTTTTCTCCTTTTTCGTTCATTATTCTTCTGTAAACTATCCAGAAAAAAGAAGAAACTGTATTGTAACAACAAATTAGCACAGAATTTGTTGCATACATTTTTTTTTAACAAATAATTGCAGAAATGTAATCATCTATCACTTAGATCACTTTTATTAATCTTCCTTAAATTAAAAATTGAAAAAGGCTGGATTCTAAAATATGCGTGACCTGAACTTCTAAAACTGAATAGACGAACTGGGTTTAAAATAAATTATGTATTAAAATCTCAACAAGAAAAATTATCCATACAAGATAAAACAAGATTCTGCAGTTCAAATAAAATAACTTGCCCAAAGATGTCACACAATAAATATCATCACATACATTATTCTTATATTGTGATTAAATATTTTCAAAGGTTGCGGAGAAAAAAATCTTCTATTACAACAACAATGATCATTTTCCTGTTCTCATTTCTCATTCATTACAGATCACAATTCAGAAATTTCCACATTTTCATTGTGAGGTCTGTGATAATATGGAAGGACATGCAGATCTTGGCGGAAACCAAACAAATTTCTGCCAATGGATGCCAACCTTTTTACATCACAGATGTTAGAGTGCTTGATAATAGATATTAGACTGCTTGTTTTTGCAAAAATACAATAAAACTCAAACAAATAAAATCAACACAAAATAAGAATGTGATTGCCAATATTAACACAAGTTTCCCAGTAAATTTAATGCCACGAACGGATTATACAGCGCGATTTAGAAAAATGTTAAAAAATTATTAAGATTGAAATATTTTATCACAAATTAATATGCATGCTATACTCAGTGATAATTGTATTCCAAAGCTGCATGAACACAACAAATTGGTATTGCATAAGTTGATATAAGAAATATGTATTTATTACTACAATTTAGCATGCTTTATACATAGGACGAATAAATCGAACTTGAACTGCTTCATTTACTTCTTTAACTTCTAGGTTCTAAATTTTGAATACCATTGTGAATTATATAAATCCAGCAATAATATCAAACATTTGTTGCTATCAACCACACAAATAATAAGTTTCATAGATGCAGGGGTTTGCCAATAAATTGATAAACAATAGAAGAGGTAGCTTTGATCCAATTTAATTTACCAATGTTTGATTTCATGAAAATAAATGACAAATACGTAAGTTTATACTTTGCATTATTTATTTCATATAGATTAATTCTGGGCTATGTTTCAATAAAAGAATACTGAACAATTAAGGGACTCTAATTCTTTAAGGATCAAATAAATGACTGGCATTCACACCACAAATGTCATCTGTACTGAAAAAAAGGACGAAACATGAATCACGACTGGAGAACAAAGCTAAAACAAGAATGAAAATGAAGAAAATGCATAAGTAAAGAAACATTGTTTTAATTAAATGAAGAAGAATCAGCAAGAGCAAATTAAATGGTAAATTCTGATATGATAAAAGCAAGTAGAGAAGCAACCAAAGCTAAATAGAAAAGAAAATAATAGCTTTGATTCAAACGCCTCAAACGTCTATAAGCAAAAGCAAAAAACAGCTGTAGCACCAATGCAACAATTGTAATTGCACTCCATTCTAACTAGCATCAACCTTCGGCAAAATTTTCAAATGATATAACAGCTCATAGAATGGATAAATCAATGGTCTGTAATGACTAATAAGCAATCAAGCAGCAGTCTTTCTTTTACAAGATTAAAGCACAAAAATTCTCTATTTGTTTGAAAAACGAAATTAATTCATTGCAAAGACTTTCAGGAAAACAGAGTTCAGATTATGCTTCACTAAGTATCGTTCACTTCTCCGTAACTAAAGTATTCACTTCTCAATTATCATATCTTGAAATGAAACAGAGAAAAACCAAAATCAAAAACTATTTCACATTGACCCAATGAATGTAGATGATGAGAATCACGAGAAGTTGCAAGAATGAAAAATTTTAAAGCATTACCATTTTGAAATTTGCAAAACGCATAGGTACTGTTTTTATCTGTGCTAAATGATTTTTTAGCGCTAAAATAAGTTTTAAGATCAGATTATTTCTTACTTCTAAATCAACTTTTCCCGGAAAAAAATTTTAATATTGATTTTATAAATGAATGGTAATGTACACAAACGTACTCACATATCTTTTATATCTCACAGTAAAAGCTTTTAAAACTGTAACCAATCAATCACACGCACGCATACTTGTATTTGTTTGTACCACTCAAAAGCTTGCAATAGTCTGAAAGATCAAATTTTGTAAGAAAAAGTGCAGACATTAACTGATTGTCTTCTAAGAAGAAGGAAGAATATCGATTGTTTCAAATAAAGACTGAGTTACTTATTGATTGGTTAAATGACAAAGTGAGTGCTTGAACGAATAGTTGATCGATAGATCGATGAAATTGTATTTCACACATTAACAAATGACATTCACATAGCCTAATGTAAGGTGGACATTATAAATATATTATTACGTTTGTTTGAAAAAAATGTTTTCAGCATTTTTCTTACGAAAGTGTTTACTCGTACTACACTCACGCGTTCAAAGTATCTGTTACAAGCACACTTGCGTAACAAAGCTAATGTAAAAACAGAGCGTAATTCGCTAAATGTAGTATCTGTTTATAATTCAAGTAGTGACTGCACGTAACATAACCTCTAAAGACTATTATATCATTTTTTTTTCCTACCAACGCCTGTGAAATACTACTACTATTACTTACTACATGTATCCATTTTCCCTTTCAATGGGACTTCAATATGTCACTCGAAAAAAGGAAAAAAACCATCTGTTCTTCAAAATAGGCTCCACTCGGGAAAATAATTGATTTCATGTCTATAATTTTAAATTGTAATAAGAAAGAGGAGAAAAAAGACAAAATGAGAATTACTAAGTTGTATATATCAACAGAGCCACAGGAATTATCTCTGTAACATGGAAATGTCATCAGGTAGTGAATAATTTTTGAAGCATTCTTTTTTGACTGATATGGTAGCTCGGTAATATTCTGTTACTTCGAGACGAAAGGATTGAATTTCATTGAGATTTTTGAGACAGAGAACGAGAATGAATGGAAATTTGGAACATCAGAGAAAGATGGCATCTTTTTACTTGATAAAAATTGTGGGATAAAAAGTGGACGCTGCTTGTCTTATTCTTTAAGACCAGAGCAAGGGTAGAAAGTTAGTCTTTAGTGCAAAAATATACTCATGTGAAAAGAGATAAGAAAGTTTAAATAAGCTCAAATGTATTACTTCTGAAATGAGAAAGAACATTTTATTCGACGCTATTTACCGAGAATTGCTGTTTACGTATAGA